GTCTCTAGCAGAAATAATGGGAGGGACATGCCCCAGTCTCCCATCTATCTCTGCTGTGAATCAGAAAGAAAAAAAAAAGGAGGTAAGGCAAGGAGCAGCTTGCTGAACGGGTGCTGTGCTTTAGACAGCCAGACAGGGCTCAGCAAGAGTTATGCACCAGCTCTGGTGGTATTCTTCTGGGCACAGAAAGAAAAGCTTCCAAGAGAGTTTGAGAAGAAATATCTGTGGGTGGGCTTCTGCAAATGCTTGACTCCGACACCCCAGCCTTAGTCCTTCTTGAGAAGACAAAGCTACCTTTCTGAGCATGACATACACAATTTTAATCCTAGAGTGCTCCATGTTACAGGTTAGGAGAGATGGTTGGTTAATGGAACTTTCTACAGATTCACATCTCTACCTTCGCCACAGGTGGCTTGAACAAATGCTTAAAAAAAAAAAAAAAAAGGCGACAGAGAGGAAAAAATAAAAGGAAAGGACCAGTGTATCCTTTGTCCAAAGTAGTCTCTGTGCTATGACTTATCCAAAGTGTGGATCAGAACTGGTAGGATTCCTCAGAGTTACTGAAAACCAACACAGTCACTTCCTTCTGAAATGTTGATGAGCAGCTGAAACTTTCAGAGAAGGTGAAAATTAAGGCAGATTGTTTGATGGCAATAATGGTTTCTTCAATGCAACATGATCATTTTCTTTTTATAAAGAGGACAGAAGGGATAACATGGCCAACACCAATCAAACCATTTACAATGGCCAAAAGAGATGGAGCTGAGGCCTTCAAGTACTACAAAGAAGCCAAGTAGGGTAAGGAGAAAGATGACAAGAAGTTGGATACAAGTGCAAAATTATTTCCTTTCCATTCAACATAATAATAGACCTACAGCTGACCTTGAAACTTCCAAAAGGTGCCCTTGTATTGAGGCCTGGAAACAGTAGAAACAGCAGAGGGCTTCTGATCTCTAGGAACTTCACTCACTCACTGAACTTTTGAGCTGTCATTTCCAATAAACTTGGCTGCAGATGAACCAGAACTTTTTTTTTTTTTTTTTTTTTAAAGGAAAACTATTCATAGTTTGAAAAAAGAATTGCGGGGATTTTTTCCCTTTGTCGTTCCATTTGACGTCCAAAAAAACTACAATATCCTTGTGGAGTAGAAAGTGAAATAGATGGAAGAGGAAAAGCGGTAAGAATAATGTTACAATGAAACCACAAGCAATAGAAGAGGAAATGTTAAAGACCCCAAACCCAAAGAGAAAAATCAAGCTAAGAGCACGTCTTTAAAGCAAGTGAGACCCAAATGTGCTTAGGGAAATTAAGCGATTCCCTATACGAGCTACTTTCTCATTTTAAAATGGGTTGATAATGATTAGCAACCAACATATTAAATGAATATCTCTTTCTACTATCAAAAGTTTTAACTCATCTTTACCAGACTTGACTCCTAAACCTAAGCAGTTCAGGAAGGTGACCTGAGATGACAGCAGAGGATGACATACTATTGACTACAGTGAAGAAGTAGGAGGAACAATTGTGCCTATCAATTATTGAACAGAGAGAAAGGAAGGACTCAGCGAATAACTAATGCATGGAAGCATGGAAGCCTCCATGTCTGTGCTCTGTGCAGGCTTTGGTAGGGCAGATTTGTAAGAAAATGAAGTATTATTACTGATAAAAATTAGGGATAATGTGATCAAATGGTTTCTCTTTAATTAAAGTCATTAAAAATGTGTTTTCTGTCAATCTGATATAAAGCAATGTAATCTTTGAAATACTAGGCAAATGTTCCCCACATTGTCCTGAACAGGGAACACGAAGTTGGGCATTGAAAACCTCCACAAAATACCTGGTAGCACTACTAAAGTAGCCAGTTAATAAATTTTGAGCTGATGAATGGGAAGAGCAACAGTACAGCAATAAATTCCTATGTCTACCCTCCAGTCAATAGGTTTCTCTTGTTCTATATTCAAGCTGAGTGTTTTTCACCTTGTACAGAGAATCAATGCAAAATTTAGGCTACGTTTAAATTTGTATATACCAAAGCTTTTCAAAGCTTCCTGAATATTTCCCAAGCATTCTCATGACTTCTGTACATGTTTTTTCATTTTCTAGCAGAGAAGGATTGCAATTTTTAACTTGTTCCCATCCTGCTCCCACTTCCTGTCATTCTGTGCCTGCTTTGCATCTTGTATATTGACCTTTCTGGTGTAGCAGAGATTTACAAGCCGAACTACCTTGCTGAGGCCCTTTTAGGTCCCAGAAATAGAAAGAACCTTGCCAGGGGTAGATGCATGCATGAAATGAGATAGCATATTGTACATCTGATAAAGCTTCCTTGACTTAGCTGTCTGAAAATCATTACCTGTGTCTATTTCTGTAACGCATATCGATCAAAAAAGTGCATGCTTCTTACCGGCTCTTGAAAAACAAAGTTTTAGCCAGATATGATCTGAACTGACATGTCTACCAAAATGGTGATGTGCAACAAGAAAGCAAAGGAAAAAAACTCCCTGAAATGATCCCTCTTAAAATGGAATAAACAGCACATGGCTCCAAATCTATTTCCTTTTACTCTAGAACTACTTTAGGGATTAAAAGTACAACTTGCCTAATGACCTTTATAAAAAGGAAGTGAAAAAAAAGACTTCCAGGCATACAGCTGAAATGTGCTCTTCATTATGACGGGATTAAGTCTGAACAAATCCACTGACTCCAGTGGTGTTACCTCAGCTTTACACCGCTGCACCCAGAGCTCCCTCAGCCTCAGCAGAGCTGCAGTGGGTTTCCTTTGCTGTCTCAGATCGAGATCCAAACGCAAAGCTCAGGTTTCTTCTGGCTGGGAAGGAGGAAGTTTCATTTTTCAAGTCTACCACGGATTGGCAGTGGTCGTTTTTTGAAAGGCTGTTGGTATTTGTAGCCATCTCAGATCCACCGAAAACAATGGCTTTAGCATTTGAAGGACCAGATCTGTTGCTAATTTGTTTTATGGGAGGCCTTTTAGCAGAAAATTTTGATCTGGAACTCAGTAAAAGAATCACAAAAAGAAGAGCAAGTGAAGTCGGGGGATTTGAGATCAGAGGTTTTGCTTCTAACACATCCTTGCTTATTGATAACATGGAGAGTCCCCTTCGGCATTACAAGATCAAATACAAAAGTTGCCATTCCCCTGCATGGTGCTTGGCACTTCCAGCTCCTTTTGCAACTGGTAGGGAGACGGCAGCTTGCAGGATGAGACCGTGCAGATGCAAGGGAAGGCTGACGGCTCCTTCCAGCCACCACACAAGGAGGAGAGGTCCTCAGTGACACCAGAAACACTCCCAAAGCCTCAGCATGAGCAGGCTGGTGTCAGGTCACGGGCGTAGGGATGCCTCACCAAACAGTTGGGATTTTAATAGGCTAGATATTGTCCCAGCGCTTGGTATTCATTGATAATAATAGAGACGATATGTACGAAATAGATTTGCTGTTTAGGCAGATGATTCATGTAAAGCCATAGGCGTTCGGTGGCAAACATCATTAGTTCCAATTGTGTGAGAGAAAGGCTCGGGAAGAGGAGGCACAATCTGGCCTCTCTCGCAAACAGCTGTGTTTTCAAATCACCATTCTCGGGTTGTTTCCTGTAGTTGTTGGTATATACTGTACACTGAAAATTAGGCCTCAAAAACACTTATTAAAAATTTATACAGCTTATGACAGGCTCTTTCAGAAACATAACCCTTAACTAATTCATGTTCACTTACCCTGCAGTTTTCTATTTATAATACTTTACAATTTCTGTGTATTTGTATTATAAATTATTCAATGACATCAAGGTTTTTATTTTGATGAGAGAATTTTTGATGAATTTGACAGAGTAATTACTTCAAATCCTGTTCTGGATTGCTATGAAAATATTTAATTTTATTTACTTCAATAAATAATTAAAATGTGAGAGTAGCAAGCGTATTCACAGTGCCTTATAGCCTGTGACTTCTGTTTGCTTCTCCCTAATTAAAATAGCAATGTTTATGTGTGTACTGATTTAAAATAATAATAAATTACCAGTTGGGGAGGGACATCTAAAGGAGGAAGAAAAAGACTCTTGTAGCAGCAAGCGCAGTCTTAAGGATAGGAAGAAATTATTCTGGAGAAATAGGAAATTAGCGGTCCCCCGGTGCGGTTAGAAGGAGGCACTCCGGATAGAATCTCTGCAAGGTTCATGTTACCCAAATGAAGATTATTCCTTTTGTGGATTTAAAGTTTAAGAACAGGCAGCTTTTCTAGATGCTCCCAGACTGATTCAGCAAATATTTTAAGCGTGTGCTTAACTTGAACCTGTGAGCAGTTCCACATATTTCAAGAACACTCACGCTCACATTTCAATTACAGTATTTACCGAAGTGTTGTTCTGGCAGCAGCCTAGATCATCTGCTAAATCAAAGATTAAGATTCCACATTGTGATTTGTGCTACATTGTCTCTTAACTCTCCATAATATAATCCAAAACAAATACTCTTTGTCCCATTACAGAAAGCTCAGGTCACAATGGTCACTGGTTTGTAGGCTGCGGTCCTCTATTTCCCCAAAGGATTTCCATAGGGTCAAATCTGTTTCTAAGTCTCATATGCAGTTTTAGGGCTCAAAGGCAGCAAAACTGTATGTATAAGACAGAAAGAACAAGAAAAAAGCTTGAATCCTCAGAACCTCTCAATTGTTTTATAGGTCACAAACAGGCACATATTAAAAGTTTTTAATTACATTGAAGCCATCAAGCATGCAAGTGCATAGTCATTATCATATAATAACAGGTTAATTACCTCATTAGTTGGCTTTTTTGACATTAAAGCTTGCTCGTTATTGCCACGTACAATGGTGATCTGGTTACCCACAGGCTGGTAATTGAGAAAAATTGACATTTCTTGACAAAATAACTGTTTGTATTTCACAGGAATGGAGTGAAGGGGGAACGGGACATTGGTTAAACAGCTGCAAGCAAAAGGAGAAATATTTTCCTTTTTATTTTTTTTTCATTTTTTTGGTATTTGCATGGCTGAAAGAGGTAAAGAACAGCTGATCCTCACTAGCAGTGAGGGACTGAGCTTTTTGGTCGCAGGTAAGAATTTGGTCCCAGCCATCAAACCACGAGTGAAAGTCAGTGCCATCTGTTGGCAGGTCACCGGACTGCCTGCAGAGTGCACGGGTGATGCATCGGACCAATTCCTCCTGGACAGACGTTCATACTTCCCCCTCCACACCCTGACAGATCTGAAACAAATTGGCACACTGGGTGGCAGCATCGGGGGAGAGGACGCAACCTGAATACTCACAGGGCTGCTGAACGCAACGGCAAAGACTTGGGGACCGACCACGATGCCCAGTTACTCCATAACCTCACCAGGCACCATCTCTATAACCCAGACACAAACTGCACCCCCTCATTCACCCCTGATTGCCTTTCAGTGACACAGCTTGGGCAACACAGGAGGAGTTTTTAACCCCAAGCACGGGACATGAGATGCTGCAAAGGGCTGCAGCCACAGTGCCACACCACAGGAGCTTGCACCCAGCTCCCCTACAGATCGGCCGCTCTCCCTGTCCCTCCCAGCACTGACACATACACAGACACACGCACACACACAGACAGACGTACACACGCACCCACACACCCATAGACACGCGCACCCACACGCCGGGATTTCATCGTGAGCTCCGATGTGACTACAAGTCACGGCCGGTAATAAATCCTCGCCGCTGGTATCCGGCTGGATTGCCTGGTGGCGGGTTAATCCAATAGCGAACCCTAATAACACGACTTTCAGCTCGCTGTAAAAGCAATTCCTGTGCAACGTGCCATATTTCTGTGGCAGTGCCTCACGTCGCAGCGAGTAACGCGTTCTGTCACAGGCTGTTGTAAACACTCGGGCTGCTTGGCGTGCACCGTGCGCAATTCGTCTGAGCGGAGACCTAAAATCTTACACCTGACTGTTTCACTCACTATCAAGCCTAAATAAAGCCTCAACGGCAGAAGCAAGCAGGGAACGCAAACCAGTTGTGACTGGTGCTCGCAGCCGAACGCTTAGGAGCAGAAGACACGGGGCTGGGGTTTTGCTTTTGCTTTCCGTGGTGCCACTGGAAGTAGCAGCAGAAGAAGAGGTCTGGCCTGGGAGAGGGGCTGCCTGCCGGCTGAGCACTTCCAGGGGATGGGAGAGGAGGAATCAGAGCTCGTCCTTGCTGCGACTAAAATGCCAGCATTTACTTGGCTATGGGTTCAGGCATAACGAGGTTTGGAGCTGAAGGAGGTCTGGTAGCTAAAAGGAGCACGGAGAGCCTCTCCGCCCAGCTATTCCTGGCTACTATTGATTTGTTCGTAACCTCAGGAGAGCCTTGTTGGGGCCAAAATGTTCTCACATTGGAAGCCAAAAGTTTATTTAAGATAATGCAGCTGTTAAATAAGCATCTTCATTTTCAGAGGAGATAATATCAAAGAATGGAAGGGGAATGCAATACAACGCACCTTTTCTGTTAATCTTTTACCTGCATTCATTCAAAGACATGAGTCTATAGGACGCCAAATGCCATGTCATGTAAAACAGTGTTTGGCATCTGGTTTTCCCTTCATCTTTCTCCTTTTCTATTCTTTTATTTTATTTCTAGTGTGTGCAGCTAACACTGAAGATTTTATTTTTCCCTTTTAATGGAGCGATTGTTATTGACTACCTGGTGCCTGTGTTCACGGGGTAGGAAAATAACCCAATAAAATCTGCTGAACCTAAAAATAAAGAACCCAAAACAACAACAGGAGCTCTCTGTATCATGTGCACCTGGAAAAAAAAGAAGTGCTGTAATTTGTGCAGTCTACTGCACATTAGGAAATACGATACTGTGGTGGGCCTGTCTGTATCCCGCTAACCAAGGGACTCGGGGCAAGCTGCCTACTTGTCCCACCACTGCTCTGGGCTACCCTACACGAGGGATGCAATGCAGCAGTGGTAGAGCTCATTCACAGATTTTCAAGTTCCCCGAGAGCAACTTCCAGTAAGAATTATCCAGAGCTTGAAGTCTTGCATTGAAAGCTTAATAAATTTATAAAGCTTGGAAATCACAGGTTCAATAAATGCTCCTCGGTAACAAGCCCTGTTAGGATGTTCCAAAACCCATACCAATAAAATCCTGCCTGCAACAATCCCAAAAACTAATTTACATTTGCAATTGCTCAGCACTGCGTTTGAGCATCTCCTCTCCTCTGCTGGTCCACTAGGACTAATTACAAATCATTAAATGTTGACTGCAATGGAAGCAGACACCACCCCACTTCAACCCAAGACCTTGGTGTTCTTCCTTTGAGAACGAGGACATTAACTGCACCAGGGAACAAACACCAATGGAGTTTTACCACCGAAACAATAAAACAAATTTTAAATTGTGTAAAAAAGGGGAGGAAAAATCCTTCCTCCAGAAACGTCTTGGGTGGGAAGTGGCATCAGTCATGCCACAAGGACAGGAGGGGCAAGCAGACTTTATTGGAAAATAAAGATGTGAGTAAATCTACTCTGATATAAAATGCCCCTTTTGGATTCAATTAAGAGTCACCTTTTTAGGTGACCAGGAATGAAACTTCTCTTTTAAGGGCACCGCTCTGTATCTGACTTTTCGCACAGAAAAGCATATGGCAAAAAAAGCAGGAAGCGGGGATTAAGGTACATTTTAACGGGCGGCATGTTCAGCCAGATGGCCTCGTCCCTGCTCCTCAACTTCAGTATGCTTTTTCCCCCCTCCAGAGTTATTTTGATTGGATTCCTTCCCCAAATAAAAATAAAACCTCCATAATTTATGCTATTTTAATGCATACTCCTCAGTTCACCTCACCCCACTCCCCATGCACAGGCTTTTTATACACAAGTCACGGTGTAAAGAGAAGCAAGATCCTTCCTGGGCGCGACACAACTCCCAGCTGCCCAGCCCTGGAGTCCAAAAAAAGTCCAAAGCAGGGTACAAATCTGGAAGGATTTTTTCTCCATGGCCACTCCTTGCCTGTTTCCCTCACTCTGCCATTGAAACTGCCTGTCTGTGCACCAGTAAGAGCCCCTAGGGCTGCAGAGCTGTTCAAAAGCGTCTTCTGCCTGTTCAAAAGGCTGGGCAGAACTAAGAATTCCTATGCCCACACCAACAGTGATGGCATCAGTAAATTAACCAAGAAAAGAAACACAAGAAAAAAGAAACCATTGTCTGTTGAAAGGGGAGGAAGACAAAGGCAATTAGATCAGTTTGGATGCTCTTAAGAAAGCACAGCTAAAGAAGAACCACAGTTCAAAGGCATTCCTATGATGGCATTCCCATGTCAGGGCATTTAAAAATAGTCCACTGTTCCTTTTTAAAACAAAAAACTAAGTGGAAAATAGAAAGTCCTCCAGAACTGAATTAACAGAGGTGAAACTAATTGTTAACAGAGATTAACAGAAAAAAACTTGGGAAGAGAGAAAAGAAGAGCACAGGTTCGGTGCTTCAGTTTGGAGAGTCTCAGCACAGCAAAGAAGGAAACAGAGAAATGCCAACATCTGCTCAGGTATATATAACTGCAGTCGTTACCTATACCTATGCCTGTGTACACACACACACGCACACATATATATACATGAAAAAAATACAAAGCAAGCAAGCAATCCAGTTTTAAGAGAAATACACTATTTTTATGGCGTACAGAAAACAGTAATGATGATTACACTTCCTCAGTGGAAGCCTTCATGAATACAATGTAAATTGCATGACACGAATGCGAGAATAAGGCTTCACAACGGTGACAAATAGCGACTGGAGAGGTTTGGATGAAACATGGAGGAGGGAGCAGTGGGGAACTTCCCGTGGCTGGAGCTGGACAGTGTGTAATGAGCAAAATTCATTATCTTAAACTTTTGGCTATGATGTGTAATTGTTAACCTCTGCCGTTAGTTCAAGGCTCCTTTCAGTAAAATATATGGGTTGCCATCAAAGCTGATTTGGATTAGGAGGCAAGCATGTGCCCTCACTTTTAGGTTATATTAATACACCAAAATCAATAACATGCCATAGCTTTCAGAAGTAGTAATAAAACACCCTAAAATATTCCCAGAATACTTCTATAAATTATTTGCTCAATGTACTTATGTTAAAAAGGTTGTCAGTTACAGTGCTCTGAAAGACTCTAAAATTACAAGTCATCGTATTTGTATTTGATAAACCCCCTGCTGTTTTGGGTCAGAGAGGGCTCCAGAACAGGGAGAAAAAATCATTATTTTCCCTAATAAATAAATTACTTGCCTGTATTTCATGTATCACTAAAGCCTGCCGGTATTGAGGACTTAAATAATAAATAGCAAAATAGCTCCATTCATTTATTAATAATAATGCATCTTTTCTTCCTTTTACCATATTTGCGGGCAATGGATTGAACGGTAGGCAGGTGGAAGGACAAATAGTTGGGCCACTGGGAACATTTAAAACTTTCCAGTGTAAGGTGAACATGTCAGCACTGACAGCCCTTTTAGCTTTGCCAGTGGTGTGGTGCCAGGGCTCTCTACTGCCTGTGCCAGAGCCTTTGGGCTACGAGAGTGTAAAACACCTCGGAAACCTCATTAGCTAATGGACTTCTCACACGTGGGTATTTCTCAAATAGATACCCATTTTCGATTAGTCATCACGATACCTGTTCAGTCCTGCTCCATGTAGGCACCTCGCTGCCCTCGCCAGGTTCAATGCTCGTAACACACTAGCGGGGCAGCCCCATCCCTCTCTGCATGGGTGGAAGCAGACATTGGGCAAGCAAGTGGCAGCAAGCAAGGGGCTGATCCAGATACACGGCTCTTTTATAGTCAGCTAACCAGAGATTTGTTTTATTTGTGACTGTGCTCAGCATAAATTGCTCATTTCCTTTCTGATCCAGCCTACAACTACATCTATCTGATGATTTTTAACAGCCATTCCCTTTCATGGCTCTTTGATTTAAAGAAAAATAAAACATGAGCAGTTGGCCAGAGAGGTGCAGGTTTCTCAAGCTCTGAGACATCCAGAAAAATACCTCCCTCCTGTAGGCAGGGTATTGCAGCTGACTGCAATAGTTTCCAAGTAGGCTCCAATGTTTATTGTCTTTTGGTCCTAGGGACCAAAGTCTTTAACGCCACCAGCAGCCCAGCCTGTGGGTAGGAGGAGAGGTGTGTGAGCACGGCTTTCAGTGGCATGCCCTAATCCAGCTCCTCCCAGGGAGAGTTACGAGAACACACACACACAGATGACCACATCCATCACCTCTTTTCTTCCAGAAGAAAGAGAGCTGGGACTTCAGTGTTTGTGTAGGTCATGGCATCAGCGTGTCTGGTAAATGAACTCCTTTCTTCACCCATGTGGTGCAGATGGGATGTGAGGAGCCTCATATTAACCAGAAAGTCACCTCTGCCCCTTACCTGGAGGGCTAATCTTTTTCACTGGTCAGTAGGAAAGCACTTTGCATTCTCAGTCCCTTTCAAGCAACCCAAACTTATTCTTGACAAAATAAAAAGTCAAGAAAAGAGAAAAATACCTTGCATCCTACCACAGGTATCAGACAGGCTTACAAGAGACTGTGCCAAAAGCTGGCAGCTCCCAGCCTCGGGTAGGAGGGGCTGTCAGCATTTCAGCTCACCACCATTAAACAGAGCGAGTATGGTGGCACTCAGTCAGGGTGCAGAGTCTTCAAGAGCATGCCCTGCTACCCTCCAAAGGAATTTAATCACGCAGCCAGCTACAGGAACTTCACTTCCAACTACCTACAGAGTGCAGGTTCATTTTTAAAGCAGACTGTTTCTTACAGCCTTACCCACTGTGAAGTGCTGTTATGTTTTTCTACGGGATTTAGCTACAGGGCAAAAGACTTCAAGCATCTAAAAATACAGATGAGAGATCTGGCATGATACTCCTGACCCAGCCTAATAGGACCCTTGCTAGCAAGATGGGTTGGGTCACATCCTACCTCTTGTTTCCTCATGTCCAAAGTGACACTGGCTCTTTTCTGACCCAGGTAAATTGTTTCTTTTCTTCTGTCTATTCCTTAAGCTACCCTAGGCACCAAGCAAGGAAAGTAAACACATGGCAAAGGCACAATAGGCAGAATGGACTTGATCTTTGTTTAAAGCACAGGGTCAGCTCCTCGCTGTGAGCAGATTTTCCTCTTTGGAAACAGGTTCATGTTTATGTTTCAAGTTCCAGCAACATGCTCTGGATTTTCAACATGTGCAGCACATCTGCTCCAGCCCAGATTTATGAACAAATCTGCATATAATTGTGCTGGGCTAGGGTGTTGTTGTTGTTGTATTCCCCCCCACACCCACCCTTTAAATAAAATGGCTTTGTCCAGGGCTGTATAAACCCCTGATTCCAAGCCATATAATTTTATGGACAGGAAAAAAAAAAAAAAAAGTTCTTTTGTATTGCACCTGAGCTCATTAAAACCCCCAAATTCCATAATTTTACACTACCATGTGCTGCATATCGTATTTAGTACCTAGCAGAGTAATTGCTTACAGTCCTCAGAGTGAGTGCACATAAGGTGGAGAAATGATGGAACAGGTGGGAGAGCCGCCCCGTGCTTGGTAATCGCAGGTTTACGCTCCTGCACAGCTGATGTCGAGCCGTGTGGATGAACAGTTGAAAAGCCTGGATTATGGCCTTTTGTTAGCCCTGTAATGGATGCCAAGTCCCGGATGTCAGCTTCCAGTGAACACAGTGGCTTCTGTAACGGACCAGATAAAACAAATAAGCACGTGGGACGCAGAATGGGAAAAGGGAGAAGCCAAGGATAAGCAGGTCAAGGTGAAAGATCCAAGATGCCAGAGGAACCGGCAACTTAAACAAGTTAACCAGATATCCCAAGGGAAAATAACCCTGGAAAATTTGAGAGAAAGTGAGCAGCCCGAGAACTCTTCTGTGGCAACATTCAAGGTTTCCTAACTTGGTCTGGAACAAACCCAAAAACTTTTATGCATCCTCACAAAGGGAATGATGTCAAAACAGCTGGTTCTAAATCAAAACGAGTTTTCACACTCCCCATCTCTGGGAGCAAAAATATTGAGGCTGGCTTTGCCACCACGCATTGGATGCAGGACGATCTTCTGGGGTGGGCAGAGGAGAGGAAGGTGCAAGCATATTTATAGCATGGTCACAATAAGCTCTATTCTGGGTACATGCTCTTTGGAGGCTAAATTCTCCTCGACTGACATTAAATGCTTGCTCAAGTGCTGAATTAGGATCCAGTTGCAAATGTCTCTGCAGTCAGTGCTCCTACAGGGCACGTACTAGAGATGTTTATCTACCCAGATACTGGAGATGTTGGACTACCCAGCCCAACAGCTCAGGTTGGATTTAGGCAGCCTGTGTGAGAGTTTTTTAAAAGCAATCCATGCACGACTTGCTCAAGGACACAGAGGGACGTGGGAGCAGAACAACTGAACTTAGCCAAGGCTCCCAAATCCCATTAAAGTGCCCTAACTGCTAGGCTCGTATCAGAGCTACTGATAATTTCTCGGTAATTTCTTTGTGCCTGGCACAACTGTGAGTGTGCTCTGCTTCAGATTCTCCGATGTCTTATCTGCAGCCTCTCAGTTAGTTAAGGAGTTAAGATTAGAAAGCCAGAAGGAGCAGAGAAGTGTGTTCACACCAAAAAAAAAAAAAGTGAACAGGGCATAGATACATACCTACATAGGCAGTGGGTCCATGCCAACTTTTTTACTACTTTGCTTTCCTATGGAAGCAAAAAAAAAACAACTCTTGAAGTCACTGAAAGGAACAAGGAGGTTTTGCAATGGCCAGAGAAGACTAATATTTTGGTAACAGCAAAGCAGAAATGCACAAAAATTGCACATATCTGTGCTCAGTCCTAAATGGTGGGAAAGGTGGAAGGCTCTAACCTCGACATTAGGAAACTTTTGACATTTAGAGTTTCAGAAATCTCTTAGCAAGGAACAACTTGTTTCCTTTTTTTTTTTTTTTTTTTTTTTTTAACTGTAGTCCCTCCTCATTTAAAACATATAATGAATGCGAACAGTCATCAGTCTGTAAATACTGGTTTTAAGTTCACTAGAGCTTTGTTGAGATATTCCTTCTAGGTAACAAGTCTGTGGCTCATTAGTCTCTCATTAGCAAGATAGAAATAAAGATGCAAAAGAAAAAAAAAAAAACTCTCCAAAGATATTGTTGCAGTCTAATTGCCTGCAAGGAATTCTTAATAATGTTTACTAATGCCTTTTCAGCATTGCCAATTTTGTAATGTTCCAGATGTGACGTTGCTGTTCCCTGCTGTGATATTACCAAGTCTGCTAAGGCACCTACAGTACGAAGTTTGGAAAGATTTTAGCCCCATCTTATGTCACTGACACGAAACAACATCCACTGGAGATTTCCAGCTGCACATTTGTACTTTCAAAAAAAAAAAAAAAATCAGAACAAAACCTGTCTGATCCACTGTTTACACAGAACTAAGTAAATTCAATCACAACACGCATTGGCTGGAGCCAACAGCCTTACAATGGACATTACCAGCACTAGCAGTTACACAAAGTTCAGCAACATTGGCTTTCCTTTTTTTTTTATTTTTAATATATTATTTCAGACTCTGTGACATAAATCAGCTGCTTATTTGTAGAGAAATATCTTTTGCTTGGGATATGATTTTATATTGCAAACAGCATTTGGAATAAAAAACAAGCAGGCATTAGCAAAGCTCTGTAAGCAAGTCTCAGGGTACCACCATCGTGGCGTGCTCCTGCGTTACAGCCGAGCTAAGGGAACAAAGCAGGCAGCAGGCATGCAGCTTTTGAAACAACACAGCTTTTTCCACTAATTGCTCCGGAGTTTTTGGTGTTCTGGGAAGAAGTGGGCTCTCCCTGAGTCAGATTTGTATGTCATTACGGAATATATAAACAAACAGGTCTGTTTAGCCAATTTTACTGAGAAAGGAAAAAAAAAAAAGTTTGTGAGATCATCGTGTCTCTGTCATTTTTCCCGTCTAATAATTTGTGTACCTGCTGGCAAACTGGAAAGGGGGTGGTATTTCCATGATACAAAATTCCTGGAAAGAACTAGGTAAATAAAAGAGCCAGTATTAGTGTTCTCAGGAAGAAAAATCCTGTGGCGTGAGCACCGTGTCCATGTTAGATGAGGAAGCCTCGTATGGGAAAGAAATCACAAGAATACCCTGACCACAGGGAAAGCTTCTGTCGGAGGTGGAAACGCTGCTTCAGGGCAGAGACTCCCACATGGGCAGCAGACTCAGTTCGAGCTGAAACAGTCTTCGTGACCACATCCTAATGCACGATCTCAGGATCAAAGAAAGGGCTGGATTTGTACAGTGAGGGTGAGAGGAGGAGTCACATCATGGATCTACAACACCAAAAGCTAAAGGATCATAAGAGCAATTTGCTTCCCGAGTAGCCGTCCAATCTGTTCATCCAGAAAGCTTGTTCAGAAAAATATATAGGGGTTTTGCGACTCTGGCTCATCACTTAATGGCTGCAAAACTCATTTCTTTTTCATAAATGTATCCCTTGGTCCTGAAATGACGGCTCTGCCAATTACTGCTAGGGAGTTCCTTGTGCCTGTCAGGACTGGGTTAATGCCGTCCCTGGGGGCACTCCGCTCGCTTCCCAGATCCAGAGGAGGACACGCTGCAGTCTGGCCACCTTGGCTCATGCTGTTAAAAAGCTCTTGCTTCCAACTCTGAAGGTCCCCAGTTCATTTTCCCAGTATATCAGCCAAGACGGTGGTCCTCACATTTGCACTCTTCTAATAGTTCCAAGCTTACATCACGTTCCCCTTTATTTACTCTTTTTCCAAGTTATATATATATATCCTTAGCCTTAATCACTGTTCAGCCAAGGTTTCTTCAAGCAGACCCAAATCCAGCGATGGCTGGAGCCAATGGCAGTCTTTTGACTGACTCCAGCGGACTCGGGATCATAAAGTCCTGAACCCACAAACATCTGCAAGATCTGGAGGCATTCCAGCATGGATTCAGATTGGACATCGGCCACTCAGGCCCATCTTAATTCATAAATCAACATACCCAACTGACTTTCTCTTCTCTGGATCCCCTCCAGTTTGTTAATACATTTCTGTTAACGAGGTGCTTAGAACTAAGCACAATATCCCCAGCGCAGTCACATGAGAGCTGTTACATTCCTACTTCATAATGTTATGTCTCCACGTATCCTGGCCAAAATTGCACCGACTTCGCTAGCTACCATGTTTTGTTGCAGCCTCCAACCTTCATCCTGTTGCTCACGCTCGCCGAGAGCCGTGCCTCGCTCCACAGGTAACCGCGGCAGTCGGCAGGACGCCTCGCACGGGGCTGGCAACACCAGCGAGGAAAGCAGAAACCGAGCCCAGAGAAAGAATTCCTATCTAGATTTTTGAGCTGATAAACTCAGACAGCAGAATAATTGTAACAATGCCATCCTGCTGCTTTCCTAAGCAATAATCTATTTTCCTCATTGGAATAAATGACTTGGCCATCAGTCTCCCGGTTTATCCATTTGGGAACTGGATTATTGCTTCATAAACTGTGCAACGCGCTCCTATTACTGTTTAATTGCACTGGGCAGAGAAAGGGGGGAAAAAGATTTTGCAATTTCTAACGGAAATCTCCCAGAAGCACTCTCTTTCTGTGTTACTTTCCTCAATAGCTCAGTGAATTGCATTCCAGTCCAAAATTTTCCTCCGAACAAAGAGCATAGTTTGTCTTTACACACGGCTGCCAGGGCAGCTCCTCTTTCCAGCACACCGCTCCTTTCCTGCAGCTGGATGCTCGGGTTCCTCACCCCTCCCGCTGTGAGATTACACCGTCTTCTAGGCAAACATCTTCTCTAAAATCTCCGCTATACATTCGGGCCTGACGCTGCAACCAGATTTCCTACCGCTATCAGCAGAAGCTCCCCTCGAACCTGTTTATTCTTTCCATCCTTTCTGTTTTGTTTGTTGCCTGCAAGCCCAACAGTGCAGCATCCTCTCCTGCCTCCAGCATGTTTTCCAACGCTAATCTCCATACTCTGACACAGCACTGAGGAGTCAAGTTGAGTTCAAGGAAGCTGTTTTGTTGTCTGAGAAAAGACTGCCAGTGAGAGAGATTCCTGCCTCTTAATTATCTAACGCTGACACTTGTTTCCCTTTAGGAAACTTTAGCAAATTTCTGTTAATATTTTTTTCTTTCTAATTTCAGAAGTTGACTGAAGTGTTTTCATCAGAATGTTTCTCAGGAATCTCAGGAAAAACACCTTTTCAGCAAGCATTGAAACACTCACTAGCCAAAACCTTCAATGAGGTTAGTGTTTTGTTCAGATTTCTCCCTGTAAAAACCTGACAAAGAAGAAAATGAACAAGGAGTTCCTTGGTGAACTGTTCTCTTTTAAAAACACAACTGGTTTTCAAAATGTGGCTTTGTAAGAAGTCTGAAAACTTTTACCAAAAGATACCTTTTCAAATTTTGATGACCGTAAATTTTATAGGAAAGGTAAAACAAAAACAAAGTTAGGAAACTTCTGGGCACTATGAAAAGAAATTGGTAGAATTGGTAGAAAGAAAATAGCTTTTCTTATTATTTTTTTCCCCTGCAGGAAAAAGCCTAGGAACTCCTTAGCTTTACTGTATCCCAGACACAAGTCTGAGAAAGCTGCAAGCCAACTTCTCCCTTAAGCACTGCCATGTGTTCTCCCACACCGCTCCACCCATTTGTGCCAAAAACCTGTCCAATTACCTATCCTCTGGTAAACCATATCTTATCATTTACTCGTGCTTAGTGCTCACAGATTGTTCCCATTGCTTTCTATTTCTCAAGCAGCCAGCTGACCTTTCTGCTAAACTCTGTGCATCCCACTGCAGTAAGTTTTTTCCAAACCACATCTGCCTCGTTTGGCCAAGTCCTCCATCACCACACCCTGGCACGAGGACCGTGAGCTCCCCGGGCTGGACCTGCCTTCTGCAGGCACCTGGCCAGGGAGCTGCAGACTTTAACTGGGATTCCCAGGTAATACCAATAAAAAACAACAAACAATTTGCCAACTAAACAGGGAGAATCCATGACAATGACGAGCTTTAGCAGAGGAACTGGGGACAACAACTCTTCCCATTTTCAGCGCAGTGAGTGTCTTTCTGCAGAATGTGAAGCTGTTATCACAACAGAACGGGGAAATATTTGGCATCAGCAGTCAATTTTTGGCAGGCATTGACTTTAATGCACTGCTACACCTGGAAACACCTTGGTCGTAACTACTCTTTATTCATATATAACCTGGGGAAGGAGGCCCCTCTGGAGGCAGGCACTGGGTGGGAAAGTGAACAGCTGAATTCCGATGCTTTGGGGTGACAGCCCATGGCACACACTATTACTGGAGTCATCTCCAGGCGTTTCAGCTCCCTGCAACACCAAAGCTCGCTGGCAGATGTGCAGCCCACCAGGAAATGTGCTGCTATTTTTAATGCGGGATCAGAAAAGTGAGAGATGGGGAGAGCAGCAGGCCGGATTAAAGGCCGAGTCACCAGCCATGCTTTCCTCTATCGGCCAGCGGAAATCTGGCTGGAGATCTCCCACCAGACGCTCTTCTCCTCTTGTCCTTTCTGGGACATGCACTCCAGCCTCGTGCACAACTTTGCAGTTTCCAAGGAGACCGCATGCTGCTCGCCCCACAGCGCCCCGCAGATGACCGTGTGACTTCACTCGGTCAGGGAGCCCATAAAACACTGCAGCCAAAA